GTATTACGCTAAGTGAAATAAGCCAGTCAGAGAAAGACACGTATCACATGATCTCATGCATATGTGGAATCTAATGAATAAAATAAACCAATGAACAAAATAGATCCAGAGACACAGAAGCATGGAATAGACTGACGAATCTCAGAGGGAAGGCAGGGTTGGTGGGTGGGTAGGGAGAGATTAACCTAAAAACATATATGCATATATATACGTGTATATGCATAACCCATGGACACAGACAATGTGTGAAGGCTTGAGGGGGGGCGGTTGCAGGTGGAGGGGATCAATGAAGAAAAAAAGGAATGTCTGTAATATTTTCAACAATAAAAAAATTTGTTGGTTATTTAAAAATCAAGAATCAAAGTGTTTTTCTATTAAAGAATGAGTAAGTTAATAATTATGGTCATTTAATTCTCTGATTATAACACTTTTCAACAGGAGAAGCTTGTTGCACTTGGAGATTTGATAAATTTTCAGCCACGTCAATCAGGTAATCTTTTAGATGTGATGTTTTATTGGGCTGCTCTTAAAAGAGTATTAAAATATTTGTTAAAGCTGAATCACTGTTTAATATAGATAACTATAATCCATATTTTATCACCTTTAAACTAAATCATTGATAAACTAAATCATTTAGTAAACTGCCAAGTTTACTGTGTCCTTTGAAATAAAACATCTTATAAGAACACTAAAGAAATCACATCTTAAAAAACACTGTGACCATAGAAATTTTGTGTATACCATAGGTATTAGTTTCCTAAGGCTACTATAGCAAATTACAACAAACTGGATGGCTTAAAACAACAGAAATTTATCTTCTCATGGCCCTGGAGACTAGAAGACCTAAATCAAGGTGTGGCGGGGCTCTGCTCCCTCTGAAGGCTCCGGGGGAGAAACCTTCCTTGCCTCTTCTAGCATCCAGGGGCAGTGCTTGGCATTCCTGGCTTGTAGCTGCCTCACTCCAATCTCTGCCTCCGCCTTCACATGTCTCTCTTCCCCTGTGTGATCTATGTTTCCAAATCCAAGGACACCAGTCATTGCATTTAGGGCCTACCCTAATCCAGCATGACCCCACCTTAACTTGATTATGTCACTACATGGTCTCTGGTGCCTTTTGAATTTTGTCCCATATACATATTTCACACATCCAAAAATGTAAACAGTTGGATAGATAGATCTGGCTCAATGAATGTTAATGTTGAACAACCAATGGGGAGGGTGAAGACGGGGTGAGTGAGGGGAAGATTCTCAAGACACAGGAGAAAATACACTCCAGAGCAGGGGATCAGCTTCAGACAGGAAGCCTCTGCTTTGAAGGCTCAAGAGATGGGTAGAGGTGATGGGTGTGGATACAGGGAAGTGTGTAGAGTAGGGGGACTCAGAAAAAACAGGCTGGAAGACCAGGTCCTCAAGACTAGGGGAAAGAGTAGGGAAGAGATGAAGGTCTGAAATAGCTGTTGAAAGGAAAGAAGGAAAATGGAAATACACAGAATTGTGTGTGTTTTTCAGAGCTGAGGACTCAGTAGAAGTTAGAAACCATGAATTTGTGGTGACTCCACAAATTTGTGTGTTGTATGGTTGTGTGTTGTATGCTAGTGTGATTCCCCACAAAGGTGCTCAGCTGTCTGGATACAGGAGTGGAGACCTGGATGTGTGATTGTAGTAAGGCCTGAAATATTGGAGTGTACTGCCACCCTGCAATTAGAATAACGCAATTAGAATAAAAATAACACCACACTGTATTCCAACAGACTTCTGAGTATTTCCATGATGGCTTTATTTGGAATATCAAATTATTTCCCAAAAGCTTTTCTTTTTCTTATACCTTTTTTCTCATATTTCTCTTGTTTTACTGGCCCCCTGAATGGGTGTTAAGGTAATTTGGTCACTGGCATTGAACATGGGAATGGAAAATGAGTAGTTTTGTTATTTTACTTACCATTTGGGGAGGGAAGAGGTGAATTAAGGAAGTTGAGGATAATTGCAAGAAAGCCGATGAAGTGATGAATTATCGGGGTCTGGACTGGGTAAAGAAGGAAGTAATAAATAGAAATAAAATTTAAAGCTGCAGGCAGGGATGGTATTGAAAATACCTAACAAGCTGGTGTGCTATAAATTTCAACCAATTAAAATAGTTGCTGCCTCTCAGAATGTATTAACTGGTAAAAAAAACAAACAAAAAAGCGTGGCAGGGAAAGGACTGCTCTTGCTCCAGATCATCCAGAGTTTAGGGAGGTCAAAGGTGAAAGTACTGGAAGTGAGAGGAAGGGCAGAGAGACTGCAAGGAAAAGAGGTTATGGCAGAGGTGGGCTCTCAGAATTCAAATCCAGTCAGGCTGGTGGTCAAGTCACCAGCAATGGGCCAAACCAAACAAAGCCCAGAGGCAACGCAGAGGCAGAGGGTGCAGGCACAAAAGTCTGATGAGCAGTTGGTTTTATGCAAAATCTTTTATTCTCAGAATTTAGAGGCCCTCTGTGCGCCTTCCTGCGTTTGGCAGACCTCTAAAGCTTAAATTCCTCTTATGAGAATGGGCTATAAAACAGTCATTCTAAATTTGACTCCATTGACTGGTAGTTAGTCCTAAATTTCCCGTAACACTTGCATTAGAGAGGGTTTGTGAAAGAAAATGACCTGATTTTATGCTGTGATTTTATTAACAAAGGTTAAGGTGTATAAAGTTGATTGATCTTGACTGTCACCATTGGACCTTGCCCAAAACACCCAGAGATTCCAAGATCAGAGCATTGAAAATGATCAGAACTTTGCAGAGTTTGGGCATCTCTGCTTATTAACATTTCAGTGAGATGATTCATGAATGAGAATCATTTAATCTTCTCAATTAAGTTAATACTTAATTTTCTGACTTTCAGTAACTGAAAAGACCACCCTACCCGCCATAAATGACAACCAGGAAAATCAGAATGTCTCAGATGGTAGGTATATCAATTGGAAAAAAGAATTGTTCTTTTCATCCAAGATTTAACACCAAATTTCAAAGAATTTTTACTAAATTTCAAAGGAATTTTGATTCCCTATTAGCCAGAAAATGGGAGTGGAGTTCTTCATCACCAGCATCCTGTATTTAAATATAAGATCATATTTAAAATCTATTAAAGTCTTTAAAGAAAATTATCAGATATTCATTGAGCACCTTCTATGTGCTGGTCACTAGGAGAGACACTGGGGGATACAATAAGGGAGTTATGGTCACACAAACATCTGGGGGAAAGGAGCCAGGAGAATATGAAAAGGTAAATGCCGGGATATGCAATTAATTAGAAAGCTCAATAAAACTAAGGTCAAGACAGGTCAGAAGGAAAGAACGTATATAAAGAACATAATCTAAAAAGAAAGATTCTTGTACTGTGTGAAGGAGAAAATTTAACAGTATCTTGAAATATAGTTGTGGCCAGAGATGGCTAAAGATAGTCAAATGGGCATTTATTCAGAAACTGTACTAGTTCATTCACACAAGATGAAAAAACTCTAGGGACCTGTACACTCATGTGCATGTAGTTAACAGTACCATACTGTACACTTAAAATTTTGTTAAACAGGTAGATTTCATGTTACATGTTTTTACAACAATAATAAAAACTGGGGTAGGTGCTAGGGACATAAACATAAATCAAAATTGTTCTTGACCTCAAAGGGCTCACCGTCTAGCATGGGAAAGAGCAAAACTGCCTTATCGAGAAGTGTTATGATGAGAGAGGGGGCCGGCGTATAATGGGACCACACGGGGATCTCCTGACACAGGCGGGGCGTGTTGGGAAAGGCTTTCAGGAAGAGATGAAATGGGAGCTGAGACTCGAAGGATGAGTAGGAATTACTCGTGTAATTTAGTGAAAAGGAGGCGTGTAAGCATAGGGTTGGCCAGGAAAGGGTATGGAAGGTGTCCCCACTAGGGGGAAAAACGGGGGCAAAGCAGGCGTTTCAGCTGATCAAGGCACGGCCAGAAATATGAACCTGAAACAGCATAAAACTGTATTCAGAAGACAATGAGTGGGGTAGCTGAGCAAGAGCAGGGCATCCACAGAGGATGAGTACAGCTGGGAAAGTAGGTGGGGGGCGTCCGCTGTTTGGTCGAATGGTTGGTGGGGAGCTGAGCAATATGGCTGGTGGGTGATGGGACAAAGCATAAAATAGATGGGGTCAGGCTTAGAGGATTAACCTGCTTTATCATTGGCCCTCTAGGGGAAGGTCAAGCAGCCCAAGTCACTGTCCAGAGGAGTGTGGTAAACTCCGTCCCCGCCAGCCTAGGTATCTTAGAGGCCCACTCAGCTAGACAGCATCTCCAGGCATCTGGGTGGCAGCGCTATTATGCCAGCCGGCCTGACTGGTAGACTGGTGCAATCCTCACGGAAAGGACTCAGGGCACTGAGGCTCTAGGGAGAGATCTGAGAACACTAAGACCTGTCATGAGGAGGGTGACTGCAGCTTTCCAGGACAGAGGAAGAGAGGCCAGATCGTGGAGTATGTATTCCCAAGTCTTTGCATTGGAACAATTTAAGTTGTTAATTAAAACTTTAGGTTCTTAGACCGTCTAATAAATGATAACCTTAAGCAGACTTAAGAACTTTAGTGGTGAAAAAGTGGAGATAATGGTGTTGATTTCAGGTTGATTTGGGGGCTGTTTGTTGAATGAGCATTAGAATCAAATATAGCATTTCGCTTCCCATGCTGCAGGTGAGATGGGTTGTGAAAATATTTAGTGGGTCATGAAAATCAACTTAATAACTAGCATTTTTCCTTGAACTAGAATAAAATTAATAATAAAAGGGCAAGGAGACCAGAATTTTTTCCAATGAACCAGAATTAAATAGAAAGAAAAAGATAAGTAGAAAAGATAAGAAAAGGGTAAGAAGTCTGGAACAGAGTAAATATTGTAATTTTTTGTTTCATTATATGCCCATAGTGCATGTACTGGTCTATAATGTAACATGCATTTTTTACTGTGGGTCATAGGCAGCAAAGTTTGAAAACACTCACTTAAAACACCTCGCAGGTTGTTCGTTATATTCTAAACCCAGCACATCTTCTCTGGTTTTAGTTTCAGAACATAAAGCTGACACTCAGGATCTAACCCAAGAGGAAGAAAAAGGTCCGGCTCCGCCAGACGGTAAGTCCACTGAGGTAGAAGCAGGCTCTGTAGTGCTGAGCCATGAGTTGTGTTGTTCAGTCTTAGAGTTTGATGTTGTGGCCGGAAGAACATAGGCCAGCGACCAAAGTCATTTCAAAATAACCCCTTTTCTTTCTTATACTTCGTAAACGCTTTGAAAGAGGCATAAAAATATCAACTATTTTTTTAAAATACTGAAACTGCTCCCGCGTCATACTTACCTCAAACCCTCCCCAGCTACTCTAACCTCAGCCTTAGGCCCTTGCGTTCATCCCCCTCACCTTTCCCTCGTCTTCTCTGTTCTTCATTAAGCCTGAATATCTCACATGGCAAGTCCAGGCCCTCCTCAGAAAGTGTGTGAGAGGAAGAGATGGAGAAGGCCAAGAGAGAACTCTCTTTAGCAGGGAAAATCTAGGAATTCCCCTCTCTGTCTCTCTCTAATACATATACACACAAATATGTGTGTATCTATGTATATATATATGTATATTTACATGTATATTTGTAAAATATATAAAAATTTATAAATTTTTATGTAAATATTTGTATTTACAAAATACTTGTTAATACTTATGCAGTTAAAATTATGTAGAAGATTACATATTTCTAAATCTGCCTATACAAATCATATATCCAAAAAATAATAATAATCTAGACTTTTTACCACTTCTTTACCTGAAACACTCTGTCTGGGAGGGAGCTGGCAAGCACTGAGAAATGCCCAGTGATTTATGTTGTGAGGACCAAGGTGACATAGGGAGTTTGGTAGAAAGATGATGCCCTGAGCTGTTCAGCAGGACACCTGCTTGCTCATATTGCCCACAGGGCCATGGATAAGTCGCTGTCCTTGGTTCAGACTCCATATAAAAGTGGCCTGGCAGCTTGAAACCTCTAAGGAAAGCAAGGCATTCAGAGGAACTGGACTAGATGGAACAAGAGAGGAGAAAAGGGGAATAGCTGCAAAAACCCAACGTGCTTTGAATACTAAAAACCCTGCTCTTTTAATTCTCTATTTACCACAGTGGATTATTCAGATCTGACTCCTAAAACCGACTCTGAAAAACCACTCAGTGAAGAACCCATACATGGTAGGTGGTAGACAAAAATTCAGTATTTTCTTATTCTATAAATGGGACTAGGCAGAAGCGATCATGTCCCTGTGATACAATTCTTTTCAAAACCTGCCCCCCTCCCACATCCCCAGGGAATCAGCTTTGCTGACTCTCCTAGAACCCAGCTTCCTGGTTTTATAGCCGGGACTGTGACAGTGACAGCCACACCCTTCCTTCAGAATGAGTAAGGGAACAGACGCAGAAACGTCTGCAAGTCCACACTGTCATAGCATGTCACTGAGCTGTCCCGATACCTCATGGAAACAAAGTCGGCGTCAGTGTCGATTTCTCGGTGGTGACCAATCAGAATGTTACGCCCGCCTCCAGGCTTTAATTTGAATATCCAATAAAATGAATAAATCCACTGCACCTCCCACTCTGCAGATGAGGAGTATGATGGGCTCTGGGATGGGGCTAACCCCGGGGTTAGAATTCATGCCTAGAGAAGCACCAAGAGAGGAATCGGAGCTGACAGCGTCGCGGCAAACAGGATTCGGACAGAGGCAGAGGGGCCAGGAGAGGCTGCAGGCAGAATTAGACCGAGGCCAGCGAAGGGGGCGGGATTTAACTTCGGTATCTGAAAATATCTAACGACGGTCTCATGGCTCCATTTCCCTTATAGGATCCCCCTGAGCAAAACATCTTCCTCAGCCGCTGAATCAGACTGAATAAAAAAATCTGGAAAACAGAGGGAAGGGGGGAGCAAGAGAAAAGCTAAAGAAAACAAATGTTGCTCATGCATTTTTAAAATTATAACACCGTTTCATTTTTCTTCCTTTTACAGACTCTGAAGGTAAAACTGTGGAACAGTAATGGATCCAATTAGACCAACTATAAAAGTACTTGGTTATTGTACTAAATATGGAAGGACCCATGGTGTCAGTACTTGTGGAAGAATAATTTGAAAGATTTACTTCAGTCTTAGATCATTTTAAGCTAGCCAATTAAATAACAGTTGAGCACACACGAAAAAGTCAGAGTTCAGTTATTCTGTGTATCCACTCATATGCCTGCTTATTATCAATTTCTCATAAATACTTTGGCGTCAGTTGTTACTTTCTGGACTAAAATGAACCAGTTTGTCACTCTGTGCCCTTGCCTGTGCTTCCTTCAGAGAGCACCTGCTCCCGCCTGCAGCCGTACCTAAGGCGTGGGCCTGGGGGCCGTGTTCGCTCAGATTTCCTTACCATGTTGGCCTCAACTGATTGGGGCAGGATAGACATACCTTACTCAGGGAGGACCGATTAGATCTTCTCTTGCTCTGTAAAAAAATTGAACTGAGAAAAATGGATGAGTGAGTCGGTGTGTGAGCTAGAGAAGGCCACAGAGCTCTGCCTGTGAGCTCTTCAGAGCTGGCCAGGCTCGCCGCCTCCGTGAGACCTGGCGTGCAGTGGATTTCCTTGGACTTGCTTGGTTTAATTATCTTTACAATAAATCACAGTGCTACTTTAGCTTACACTGAATAGGTTTCTGTCTCGTGACACCAGATGTGGCCTGAATTTTGAAAGAAAAGGATAATATTTTTACCGTATAATCACACGGTTTAGGTAAAAATTACAGTCTTTTATTAAAGCAGTAGTAGACCAATATGCTCATGTATTTTTAAGCAAATAGGACCCTTTACAAATGCCAGTTAGGAACTTTCAAAACCCCAGAGGTCTTGTTAAAAACTACTGACATCTGTGCTTTCTCTGTAGTTTTAAATACGTCTTAAGATACACCTTTCTGAAAATTCAGTGAAATTTCAGATGCTGCTACACATTGCTTCTGACTCTCATGATTTAAAACCATGACTAACTTTTGCTTGTTTTAAAATCAGCACTTCATTTGATGTTATTGTGAAGAAATCTGAATGTCTATGTTAAGGACTTCGGGTGAGGTTTTGTGCCCTAATCCTACTGTTTCCCCTACCTCTCCTGGGAACCTCGACCAACGGAGTGTGAGCACAAGAACAAGAACTGGGTGGGGCCCCGCCGGACGTGGCTCAGCGGTTGAGCATGGACCTAGGATCCAGGCGATCGGAGTTCGATTCCCGGTCAGGGCACATGCCCCGGTTGTGGGCTCGATCGATGACTCTCTCATTATTGATGTTTCTCTCTCTCTCTCTCCCTCTCCTTTCCTCTCTCTGACATCAATAAAGATATATTTAAAAAAAATAATAATAATGTTTTTAAAAAAAGAACAAAAAAAGAACTGGATGGGAAGGCACCTGGTGCTCTGCACATAGCTGGGCGTGTGGTGGTTGCCCCTCAACATGCAGGGCTGCTTCATGGTAAAATGGAGTTAGGTTGGAAAATGTGACTCAGACCGAGAAATCCAAGCATAGCTTCCTGTTCCATTCCCCTTGAGTCAGGTATGCCAGTCACTTAGCAGGAACCGGGTGGAAAAGCTGGGACAGAGACTACAACCATGAACCCCCATCACCTTGCAAGGCAGTGGCTCTGCTGCTTAGTGAGTGATATTTTTCCCAGGGGATGTCAAACCCTGACAGTCATCTGCTTCTCCAATAGGTGAACATCTAGGAAGGGACTAGAGAGAGACGTGGGCAGAGTTTCTCTTCTTTAGGGTCACTGTGGGAAACACTGAGCCCATCCCCAGCAGGCTGTACTTTCCAGCATGAATATGAACTATCATACTTTCAAAGCACTGTAGGATTATCAGGATGCTCTAGGAAAGACACTCACAGAACAGAGTGAGTTGACTTTAATTATTATACCTACTACCACACATTTGTCCCAGATTAATATAAAATGCAGAATTAGGAAAACACACTAGTCCCCTCTTATCCACAGTTTCCCTTTCCAACATTTCAGTTACCCATGGTCAACTGTGGTCTGAAAATATTTTTTAAAAAGTTCCATAAATGAACAATTCATAAGTTTTAAATTGTGTGCCATTCTGAGTGGCATGATGAAATCTCGAGCCATCCTGCTCTGTCTCACCAGGGATGAGTCATCCCGTTTTCTACTATCTCCACCCTGTGTACACAACCCCCACGCACCCCCTCCTTGTCACTTAGTAGCTTCTCAGTTATCCGATCTTTGCCGAGGTGTCACAGTGCTTGTGTTCAAGTAACCCTCATTTTACTTCATAATGGCCCGAAGTGCAAGAGTAGTGATGCTGGCAACGTGGATAGGCCACAGAGAAACCCCAAAGTGAAAGGGTGTGTACAGAGTACAGTTCAATAAGATATTCTGGGAGAGAGAGAGATTTACATCATTTTTATTGCAACATATTATTATAATTGTTCTATTTTACTATTTTTAGTATCAAGATTCTTAATCAATGTAAATAATCTGCTGGAAATCGGCTCGCCTCTCAACATGGCAGCATTCAGGAGAATATTCCAAGCTCCCTCTATTGCAAACACCTCTGACATATCTTGATGCAGATGTAATGGAATATAAAAAGCCTAAATATTTCAATTTTGAGTCTGCAGCACTTTGATACACATTGCATGTACGATAGCCTTGCTTTCTTCCTACATTGTCTTACCTGTTCCCAGAAAAGTCAACAGATTTATATAGAGAAAGGCAATCCCATTTTTGTCCCATTCCTAATCTATTTTTATTTTTTTAAATGTCCCAAGTTTCAGTTTTTAAGAAACCAATGCTGTGATACTATTTCTTTTCAAAAAGAAAGAATGAGTTGGCTATGCTTGGATATCATACTCATTGCTCAAAGCAGACTTTTATTATAAAACATTCTGGAGTGGGTTAGTGACAATTCATCATTATTGTTTTAAGTGCCCCCATTGGGACCGCAGACTCTCAGATATTCTGCCTCTGCAGGTACCGCTCATGGTGTATTATTCCTGTGCTTTGGGTTCTAACTTTTTTAAAAGACATGTCAAACTCAACTCCCTACCTCCTTGGCAGCCTAAAGACATTACTGATAAAGTTCTAATACATTTAGCTCATGTGACGAGTTTTTATTTTTTAACCCTATTAGGATTAGAACATGTTAATTTTTAATCCAAACTTCTTTGAAAATACATCTTCAAATTATACTTAAAACTTAAGGGGAAATGTGCCTTTGTAACAAATTATTATCCTTTTGAAGACTTGCATTAGAGTTGGTGCCTGCTTAAAATGTGTGACAGTACCTCTGTTTTTGTAAAATAATTAATCAAATAAATTGGATTCCAGTCCCAGGTCACTCTTACCTGGGGTGGTCAGGAAGGTGGCTGTTACCTGGGATGTAGAGCCCCTCTTACTGTCTTCTAACCTCTGTGATAACCGCTGCTCTCCAGAGCACCCAGAAGATGTTTTACTTGCCTCTCCTACACATAAAATTAATACGGAAATAGCCCCTTGAAACAGAGATGTTGGAGTGGTCTTAAATTATTCAAGATCTTCATTACTAATGAATGCACTTCTGTGAGCCCTTAAAAACGGTGTAGATTCAATGTCACTGGTTTGCATGCAATTGCTGGGCAGTGGGAACAAGACATCCTCTCTCCTTAGAAATACCACACCTGGAAATCTGTTATTACTCAGATTTTCCCTCTTCCAAAACTGCTGAGTAATTTATGTGGAATGTTTGACTAAAATGCTTCCCCAAGGAAACTAAGAAAGGTAAGGACCTGGCGTGGAGACAGAGAGATTGTATCTCCAGCTGTACTGTGGACGGGGCAGGAGGCTGGGTCCTTCCGCACCTACCTGGGGCCTTCAGGAAGAGCTCGGGGGAGCATTTCTACACCAGGACGAGTTCTTACCTGATTTCACTTAATACAACTTGCAAAACAAATTTTACTTGAAAATGTTTGAAACCTTCTTAGCTTTGACAAATCTGCAATAACTATTGCAATGATATTTTTAAAGAACAAATGTAACCAGGTTTTGCTCTAGTTTCTCTCTTTGTAAAATATTATTTATTTGTCGAATAATTTGTCCTTAATTCACTCACTAGAAGGGGGGGAGTATTATTTAAATTTCATTATCATGTAACTTTTTAAAATAGTTTTCAACTGTTCATGTTAAGAAATGTCTTTTTTCAGAACTGGAAATGTTTTCTTATAGCATAGCCCTTTTTTTGTTAGAAGCAAACATATATACGTATATATGTATATTATTGTGTTTGAACAATATTTACAATGTGAAACACCAGGTAGCTAATTTACTACTCTTTTTAGAATAAATATTAACTAAATTCTATATATAGAATTGTGTGACAAGGTGTTTAAATGGATAGTATTTGTCAGAATCTTAATATGTAGAATTGTTTATTATAGTGATATTAGAAAGTTAAGCATTGAGAGCTTCAATTTTTGCCCTTCAAAATTCAAGTAACACTACATTTTCTTGAAGTGAGAATCCAGTTCCCTGTTAGCAGTATAATGCCTCAGAAGTTCTAAGTAGCCATGGTATCAGTTTCAGGAGCTGTTCTCAGTTTCTGAGCTACAGCCCTAAATCCCCAGGAGTGTGGCCAGTACAAAAAGCCTCTACCCCTATGTTCCTTATTTTTACCCTCCCAAGAGACTGCAGAGTCTCATTAAACACTTCACATTCTTGTTCCCCAGGTAGAATGACTTTTAGTTGCCTTTTTGTTCCCCCACCCCCATTCTTCCTCTGCAAAACCTTCTGCTTAAAATATTGGTTCATTTTCAGTTAGGAAGATCTCTTGCCATCTGCCCTTCCAAGAAATTCTGGAAATGGACCCAGATAAACAAGGTGAGTATTTTTGTCAAGTTTCTGAGCACAGTCTGTAAGCAAAAAAAAAAAAAAA